AGTTTTGCCACCTTTACACTTCAACTCCCAGGAATCATTGGTTGAGGGTTGCTCCCTGGTTAGAGTTACATCTCCCCCCACACTTTGCAGCCCGCTATGGGAACAGGCAGAGCAGGCTCCAGCAGCCAGAGAAAGCCTTCAGGCAGAGAGATGTAGGTTCTGCAGCTGGAAGTTGGGCAGGTGAACACGAAACAGGTAAGAGCAAGAGTTACGCATAGGCCAGAATCCAGGTAACAGCAACTGACTGATAAAGTGACATATATGTGTGTAATACAGCCCAGTACATGCATCTGAGAGAAACGCAGAGGAGGTTTAGGACTCTGTGTGACACATTGAAACCCCTGTTTGCCTCTGTGGTACGTGATACTGTTGGGTATATGTCTTGGCACCCAAAGAGTAATATGGTGGACCTATATGAAGATCTGTTACCCAAAATAAAAATTTGGAGGAATCAAATAATTTCTCCAAATGTACAACTGGAAAGTCAGTACTGCTTGGAAAGTTCTAGCTGTGTGCAAAGCAGTCCGGTAAATGCATATCGTGGATTATTTTATTGAATCTTCACAAAATTCTATGAAATTGATACGGTTACTACTTCCGGTTTTTTAGGTGAGAAAGATGAGGCACAGAGAGATTAAGTCACTTGTCCAAGGCTACTGAGCTCAAGGAAATTAGAAATATTCTCATCTAACCTCTTCATTTTACTGATGCAGAAACTGCACCACACTGGGGTGGTGTCTTGTCCAGGTCACACCAATTGCCTTGGGTTGGGCTAGTACTTGAAACTAGGTACTGAAATCCCACCATACTCCTGCTCATCCCATTTAATCATATACTGACGTCTCACCTCCAGCTGTTCATGCGCAGCTGGGTGCATCAGGAGAGAAGTGTCTGGAAAAAGGCCACAAATGGTTTACCACGTACCTGCTTCCCTTCCATTGCTCCCTTCATCTCCTTGAATGTCGAGGTGAATTCTCCAATGAAGTCATGTTTGCCGTTGGAGTCCCAGTCCCATACTATGCACTACAAGAGAAGAGAAGCTATTATTACTATTTTAAATTAAGATGCATCCAGAGTATCTGAGGGCAGTGCAGACTTTACAAGAAAGAGCGGATGAAACACGCTTGGTCTGGAACAAAAGCACAGCAGTCTAGGACTGCCGCATGTGGGATGTAAGATTCCGTTAGTTTCTATAGTGATGCAGTAGTGACTAATAATTTGCATAATTGTCAGATAAGACCAGTAAGACCAAAAGGGAGATAAGTGACTTGCCGAAGAGACCATTTAGAGAATGAAACCTGGAATTTAAAAAAATATATATATTTTTATTGATTTCAGAGAGGAAGGGAGAGGGATAGAGAGTTAGAAACATCAATGATGAGCGTCAATGATCAGCTGCCTCCTGCACACTCCCTACTGGGGATGTACCCACAACCAAGGTTCATACCCTTGACGGGAATCGAACCTGGGACCCTTCAGTCCGCAGGCTGACGCTCTATCCACTGGGCCAAACCAGTTAGGGCATAGCAGGCTAATTTTTAAGTTGCTGATTTTGTATGGCCGTCGAATGATGTTATAAATATCCAAATGGCCCTTGGCAGATAAAAGGTCCCCACACCTGCTAGCAGATGGCCTCCCTGGTGTACGCCTAGAATCTGTGTCTATAGTTTCTACCATGTCAGCTTATGTTTAACGATATGAATGGGGTCATGTTAATCACACTTTCTTTTTCTATTTTTTTCTGAAAGCAAAAGAGCAATGTTAAGAAAAATGAGTAAGAAGGCAAAATGTGAGGTCTTTAACTGTATCCACATTTGAAATGGGTGGAACATGGTGACAGGTAAGTCACACTGCTAAATATCAGGTATCCATCACACTTAAGATGTTTACTTCTAACGAGAGGGCTCCCGCTAACAATGTTAAAGCTAAATCTGGGGCTCCCAGGCAGCACCGTGTAGAGTGGCTCAGGTGAGATCAGCAGCCATCCCTCTGCTTGGCCACATACACTTAGGTGAAGAGGAAGTTCCCCATTTTTTTTCTTTTTCTTTTCTTTTTTTTGGTTTTGTTTGTTAATCCTTTCCTAAGGATACTTTTCCATTGATTTTTCAGAGACTGGAAGGGAGAGGGAGAGATAGAGAGAGAAACATCGATGTGAGAGAGACCCATTGATTGGTTGCCTCCTGCACACACCCTGACCAGGGCTGGGGATTGAGCCTGCAACTGGGGTACGTGCTCTTGACCGGAATTAAAGCCGGGACCCTGCAGTCCATGGGCCAACGCTCTATCCACTGAGCCAAACCAGTGAGGGCCCCATTTTTTTCCAGGGTGGAGGCTGGACTAGGGTCTCAAGTACTTTAGATAATGCTTTTACATCGTAAACCAGTGATTTCCATCAGGGAAGTCCCAGACCTCAAATAAGATCAAGGGAGCAAAGGATGTTTTCCTTAGAATACTGAGATTGTAAGAGGCAGCCTGGTCCTTCCTCAGAACATACATCCCATTGGCCAGTCTTGCCTGGAAAACTCAAGCTATAAATCTTTTTTCTGATCCCGTGGGATGCCCCACAAACCTAAAATAAAAGAGGTCCAAAAGGAGACATAATTTCCCCCTGAATTTATTTCTGCTCATTTATTTTCTATCACAGTAAATTGTACCAACACCCGTCCTGTTGCTACAAAGAGAAAACTGGGCATCATTCCTGAGAGTCCTCTCTCCCCTCACACTCCCACACTGACTCCTGTGTGTTCTGTCTTCTAAATAAGGCCTAACTCCAGCTCTTCTCTCCATTTGCACTGCCCCTCCTCACCTGCATCAATACTCAACGCTCATTGCCTGCTTAAACCAAAATGTATATAGGTAATGGATTTTCCAAGGCCTTCCATGATCTTACTCCCTAAATATTCCAAAATTTGCCCTTTATAGTTCACACTACTGTATTGTAAGGTTCTCTAATATGTGGTTGGTTGGAATCAAAAGCATTTGCTAAGATTTTTTTTTTGAGGCATCTTAAAGAAAAACTAATTTCTCAGCTTTTGCTCTATCTTTAGCTGTGGAGGTTTTGGTAGATTATTTTGCTCACAAAATGTATTAATAAGCCCTTTAGTTTTGAAACAGAATGGATTAAAATAACTCAGAATGGAAGAGGCTATGACAAAAGGGGCTAAACTGCTCTGCTGAGTAAAGCAATGGTGAGGTTGAGCTTTCCCTTCGTAAGGAGAGACAGAGTGGGGCTCAGGGAGGGGGCTCAGGGGGGTAGGTTGGGAAGAACCTAGGGCATGATTCATCAGATGCTAAGGATGGGCCTACCATTGGACACGAGGGTGGTCGTGAGAGGCCGGTAAGGAGCTCCTGAAACTGCTAATTCTCAAGGTCCAGTTTTTACATATCTCTCCGTGACCCTTTCTACTTCCCCTCTGCCATTATCCCCGACACTCCCAGAGTGACCTGGAGAATAAAGGAGAGGGGCTGTGTCCATGTTTGGGGACAAGCACCCCAGGGAGCAGTCTGAGATAGCCCACGTGATGATTGAGAACTGGATGGGGAGCAGGACTATGGAGAAAGAGCTTGAGAGATGAGAACTAGGAATAGAACTCCCCAGACATATTGGGGAGGGTGGTCGACTTCTGCAGTCACATGGCATTAGAATTCAAGGTATCTTATTTAGATTTTAAAAGAAATTCTGACCCCAGAAAGTTGGAGAATAACAACATTCAATTAAAAATCATTACTTAGCCCTGGCTGGGTGGCTCAGTTGGTTGGAGCATTGTCCTGTACACCAAAGATTGCAGATTCTATTCCTGATCAGAATACATACCTAGGTTGTGGGCTCCATCCCCTTTCCAGGTGCATAAGGAAGGCAACCAATTGATGTTTCTCTCTCTCTCATTCTCTTCCTCTGTCAACATATCTTCAGGTGAGGATTAAAAAAAAATAATTACGTAATTGACACTAACTCTTTGGTCATTAAATGTTCACTCCACTGGTAGATGCTAAAAGCAAGCTATCAGTAGTAGCTTTTCTGTCAAGTAGTGAGGGCAATGCAGAGTCCCCAGGTGACCCATGAAGGACATATGTGTGTACAAGTCCCAAACTGCTGTTGTTACCAGCCACTGAGATTACTCTAAGCATAACCTAGTGAAGAAACATTTAAGTACTTAGAACACTGCCATATGAAAAGGTATTTCAATTTTTGACTCCAAGGGGGGGGGCATTTTCAAGAGGAATTTATAAAGAAGTAACAAAGAAAGCATTTACCAATATTTATAACTGTCTAAAAACAAAATAATCTGTGAAAGGCTGAATGTTTCATTTCTGGAAAGTTCAAATAGAAACGGCAGGACTACACGTAGTCGTAAAATGTAGTAGAGAAAGTTGAAAAGAGAATGTTACAGGGGATTCAGTGAGATGTTCATTGAACTTACTTCTAAGATGAATTATAATTGCACAGGTTGCAAAATAAAGTCAATGAAAAGCTTAGTTCCTTCTGGCTGAAATGTCAGACCATGCACGGTAGATTTGGTAGGAGAGGCGAGAGTGTCCTACCTCATTTATTCGAATGGACAGTGGAAGCAATCAATGACCCAGTCATTTGGAAAAATTGCTCAGGATATGCATGTGAACCTCACATAGGCAAACACTGTCTATTGATCTGCAGTGCTTAGAACCAGGTGTTCTTCTCTGTTTGCTAGTCCCTCCCTGCTAACCCTGACACATTTATTACCCGGAGCAAGAAACAAGAAAACTTGCTGGGCCTGGACATAGAAAAGAGGTGCGCTCTCCCCCAGGAGAGCACCCCGCTGCCTGTCAGCTTCCCCTCCCCTCCCCACACAGGCACTTATCTCCTAACCTCTAAGGGACCCCAGGAGACTTGCAACCAGGGGAGCAACGGGCAGCAGCAGGCCGTCCTGGGCTAACCCCTGAACCCGTCTCCAAGGCCCCCTTTTCTCTGACTCCCCAGTGAGCTAAAGCAGCCCAACCTGGGCTCTCCTTTTGCTTCTTCTATGCCCTTCCAAGTTTCCCTCTCCTACGTGTGTTTTTGCTGCAGGCAATAAATGCTTGCTTGCTTTGCAAAAAAAGAAAAAAGAGGAAAAGAAGGGTGGTTCCTGGGACTCTAAGGCTCACAGCTTTGCCTCGTAGTAAATACAGCCATGGAATGTCTGACAGGCACATCCTCACCCCTCTACCTTTGGGAAGGAGCAAATAAGAAGGTGAAGGGGACAGAAGCAAATACATAAAAGGATGTGGATTGAGCAGTTCAGATTGTTGGTTACAGAACAGCCACAGAGATGTGAAGTACAGCATAGGAAATATAGTCAATAATATTGTAATAACTATGTATGGGGACAGGTGGGTACGTGAAATATTGGGGGGAACAGTCTATAAAGTACATGATTGTCTACCATTCTGTGGTACACCTGGAACTAATACAGGATGATGTTGAATGTAAAGTGTAATTAAAAAATAAATAGAAGAAGGGTAGTGGAAGCAGCCTTCTTAACACACTCCTGCGTTGGGAAAGAGGATAGAAGTTCCCTCCTTTCAGCGAAGGGGTGTAACTCCTCCTGCCCCACTACCCACAGCAGAATATTGAAAAAGCAAGAGGGGATGGACACATACTCTGGTTTGTCACAAAATCTTAAGTGAAACCACGTCCTCCGTTCCTTTGCCCTTTCTTAGTTTTCCCATCATGCTTTAGTTACTGTTCCTCCTTCCATCTGCCAAGCACCGCAGTCAAGGTGTCTATAATGAGCTCTCTGGGGCAGAGGGAGTGACTCCGGAGCCGGAGGAAGAGCCAGGCTTGACAGCATCCGGTCCTGGCCTCCCAGGGGCAGGCACCGCCCCTGACATGGGCCTGCTCCTTCCATCGACTGGCATTTCTCACCGTGGCACTGGCAGAATTCTGTTTTGACCTTTCTCAGAAGGGATCCCCAAGGAAGGAAGACACAGCGGGGCAGAAAAATAAAAACACCGTCTTTCCCTCTCTCCCCACCAGGAAGCTGGCGGTCGCAGCTCTGAGGGGGCTG